TCTCACTGCCATCCAAAAGAAAACAGACTGTCGATTATAGTCATTACGTTTTAATCACGCTAAGTTGTTCAAGAGAACCGACGTGTCGGAGGAACGTGTCCCCTGTCCTTAAGATCGAAGAGTAACCCCAGACTACAAGAGAGAAGCAATCGGTGAACTGAGTAGCTCACTCAGCTTCTTGCTTGCTGCTGTCTTAGCTTACTCTTTATTCTAAAGATGGAGGCAGTATTTTCCTCCGAAACGTCGGCAGATTTCTACCAGACTACACGGCGTTTCATCGTAAAAGACAGAACTCGTCCATAGCCACCGCATTGAGAATCTCAAATCGAATCTAAGTTTATCATTGACGATTTAAGTGGTGTAGCTTACTAAAGCACGTATTGTCATCCACCTCTCGAACACTGGACTCTTGGGTTCGAATCCAGCTCGAGGCATGGATATATGCGTCTTTGTTTCTGTTTCCGTTGTCCTCTATAGGTAGAGCCTTACAACCGGCCGATCCCTGGCTCAAAGAGTCTTGTGTACAAAAATATTCCGAAACCCAAAAGCAGGAGACTCTGCCTTGCCACTCAAGAAGAAAAAGAAGGCTGTTGCTATTTTCAGTAAAAGTTTCCCTAATTCAGTTCACCTTCCTGTACAACTTAGGATACTCGCTCCCTGTTTTATTTATAAACGTCCCTGCCGTTAACCACTTATTCGTTCTGTCCATGATTTATAGACTGGACAGTATGACAGTATTCAGAAACCCAGATTTTGTTATCGGAATAGTTACGTACTTTGAACTACTGAACTCACCTCCAACTAGTGCCGAGTTCAAGAAAATGTGGATTTATACGTCCACTTCCCATACGCCTTCATGGCATAGTGCTTCATTAGTTAAGCACAGGGACAACTTTACCTTTACCTGTACTCTGAACTACTGAATGGTTTATGCACTGCGAAATAACAATTGTTATACAAGCGCACATAGTCTTTAAATCCACCTGCCCGCTCACAGTTGTTATAGGCCTACTCTGTATGTTGTCTCTTACCAGCTTCTTGTCTTTGTCTCAAGTAAATCATAAGCTTCCTCGTATTACTTACTTGCTTACTTACTTGCTCATGGAGCTGAGCCCTTCTGGAGGAGCCGCCAATTCTGCAGCTACTCAGGAATTTCCCAGCATTTTATGGAACCCGAAGGTTCATTACCATGTTCACTAGACCCCTCCACTGGTCCCTATCCTGAGCCAGATGTATCCAGTCCATACCATCCCATCCTATTTCTCTAAGATCCATTCTAATATTGTCCACCCACCTACGCCTTAGTCTTCCCTGTGGCCTCTTTCCTTCTGGCTTTCCCACCAATATCATATTCTTGTATTAACTGTTACATAAGTTGATTAAAGCCTCTCATTTTATCGCAGCTGATCAGATGGGATAACAGGCGTGACATTAAGAAACTGATGGTTCTGTGACATTTCACCCTGTTCCTAATTGTGCTGTAGCTGATCGCTCTATCAGTCTTCGTCTTAAGCCAACACTACAGAAGCCCTCTTTAGGGCCTATAAAGGACCTTTGTATATCATTCAATACATGCCTTTTTGTGTTTGTTGTGTGCTAATGCTCTTTGAAATCAGTCCTGAGCATGAATGCAATTTATTACTTGCCTATAACGATTACTCCCAGCGCCTTCTTGACCTAGAGCCACAGGCACAGTTTGGGGGGGGGGTATAAACAGAAGAAACAAGTTTTATGGCTGATGTAGTAACAAGTGAATGTGTTGTGACATTCTGTTTGAAAACATTTATTGCAGGATCCTGTGAGAACACAGTGTTACTATATATAACAGAACAGTATCCAATGCAGAATTTTAATATAGTAGGTGGTGGGTTTTGATGGGAATTATGCCCTCCTGCATTATTCGCTGGTGAATCAGTATTTATGCTATTCCCAGTAGCATGTAGTACTTCACACCTCACAGTTGGGCTGGTACGTTGGGACGATGCACTGTACTTTGCTCGCATTCCGTAGAGTAGCAAACCGGAACATGATCATGTGATTAGTAGGTAGCAGATGCGCATGAGCATGTTCAGAGGCTGTTTCAGTAGTCAAAATGGCTACCATGCTTGAGGAGTATAATACAGAAGACCCGTGGTCTGCTGTGCGTTTTTTGAGTGCAAAAGGATTCAGTGCAAAGGATATTCGTAAAGAAATGTTTTGTATTTACGTTGGGAAGTGCTTGTCACTTAAAGTGTTTCACGACTGGGCCAACAAAAATTCTCTCAAGGAGGTGTGAAAGTCGCAGATGATGAAACAGAGGTGCGGAATTGGCTGTAACAACAGTCAGAAGACTTCTACAGTGAGTTTTGACACATTGGTAAAAAGATGGGAGAAGTGTATTGATGTTGGTGGGGGATATGTTGAGAAATATATTGTATGTTTCTTCCAGGTTCAATTATCATGTGTTTTACATTTTAAATAAATTGGTGATCCATTTACTGATTCCCCCTTGTATAATATATCACATACCACATACTTCTTGTACACTGAACTCTTTTTAAATATAAATTTGGTGAAATTTGGTTTGAGCTTGCTGATCTAGGTGGCTGCATGGTCTAAGACATGAGCAGTATTCTCTCACTCAAACATTGGGGTCGTGGGTTCGAATCCCACTCCAGACATGGATGTCTGTGTGCATTTATACTGTGTTTGTGTTGTTCTGTGCATAGGTAGAGGCCTCGCAACAGGCTGATTCCCCATCCAAGGAGTTCTACCGACTGTGTATAGGATTAAGAAAACCAAAAGCAGACAAGGCCCAAGAAAGGGCTGTAGATGCATAAATAGACAGATAGATAGGTTGGTTTGAGCTTTGCAATCAGCTGAGGTAATGACGAATATAGTGCAAAACTTAATTAATCAGATTACTTTGATTGCCGATCCTTAGTAACAAATTCTATCGAAACTGGTATAGTAGTTTTGGAGGTGAACATGCTGCAAAACAGATGGGCAAATAGACATGTGATCCCTTCAGTGCGTTATTTTGCGAATTTTATTTTGTGGTGAATGGACTGGTTTAAAGTTCAATAAGAATCCCACTTTAGACCAGTGTTTTTGTATATGCTTCATGTTTACAGTTTTAAAATGTGTATTGATGTCAGAAATGACAGATTAATATCAAGCACTCACTTGACATTACATGCACTGATGCAGGCATGGTAATGTCTGATTACAGAAGAGCAGTGAGTAAAAATTCAAACACATTGGTTTTTTTTTATCATGTTTAGAATATAATGTAATTTTCTTTCTTTATTTTGATGAAATCCTGTTCTACTTCATGGTCGCTTATCAGATTAAAAAGGTTCATAATTGTATTAAATCTTGAAGGATTGTGTGCTAGTTTGGACTACAGAGACATAACTTGTTCAGGAAATTTGTGTTAAGCCTAGCTTGGGAGTCAAGTTCCAATTTAAATGGAATTACATCATTCAAGTTCTCCTAAGCCAGGAGACGTTAGTTCAGAATTCATATTTGGCAAATAAAATGAGTTAAACCTATGACTGAGTCTGTGTCAGGAAACATGCTTTATACAGCACATCAGCTTTCAGAATACTACATTACATTAGTACAAGGCTTTGCAGTTCATTTTGCATGTGTCTGTTTTGCATTATATTAGGCAGGTCCGTTTGAAACAGCTTCAGCAAGACGAAAACATAGTGGTAGTAACTTGTGGGATGAAATAAGCAAGAAATAAATTATACATATACAAGACAAAATTGGTATAACAGCTATTATGCTAAACAGTGTATAAATTATTATTTGTGCTTTGAACATTCAGAAACTCCAGAATTATATCTATATTCATTCTCACGCCACTTCCCCATTTATGGTGACCTATCTCTGGTGTACCTCAGAATGCAATACTAGGAGAGACATTGAAGAAACAATAAATTCAGAATTTCACACACAATTTGAGATGCTTTTTAAATTACTTGAAATATGTTTTAAATGGGGCATGCGGTAGCGTAGTTAGTTGAGGCACTATGCTACAAGCCGGTAGGTCGCGGGTTCAAGTCTCGATGAGATAATTGGATTTTTTCAATTGACCTAATCCTTCCAGCCACACTATGGCCCTGGGGTCGACTCAGCCTCTAACAGAAATAAGTACCAGGAATTAAATAATTTTCCTGGGGAGTAAAGCGCAGCCGGTTACAGTTCAGAATTACACATTAATATTTTAAAAGTATTATGAAATTCTGTAACCACTGAGTTGCTGTCATTATTTCAGATTTTTTCTTTGTGTAATTTTATATTGTTTTCCAGTTGTAGGATCTAGAAGGAAAAGTAAAACCAGTTAGAAGGTTATAATATTGGGTTATTATCAATATTGGTTTTTTATGTTCATTTGCAGAAATTATTATTGTTATTAGTATTATATATGGGCTCTAATTGTGCTACTTATCACATTTTACTACTAGCTGAAAGCCTAAGCAAGTTGAATGAAAATTGCGCATACTGACAATTTTCTACACCAGAAACTCATTGTTGACACATGTTCATGACATATATTAAGGTTTTCCTTAATACGAGTATTGACCAAATTATTGTATTGCTGAAATTTTTAATAGCATATTATTATGCAATGGGGAATGCAACAGACGGGCTGCAAGTGCATCACTGGACCACTAAAACAGAAAGAATGTAAAAAAAATCAATCTATTTTGTTCAATGAGAGCTTTATATGTTTTGATTGGAATCAGCTGTATGCATTGTGTAACTTCCATACCACTTCATAATCTTGCATCTGCTGGGCTAGGTAAGCAGGTAGATTCACTGCTCATATACAGGCACAAAACTGTACTTGTGTACATGCATCGCCATAAAAAAGGGAGAGATTATGGCTGCTAGTATTGCCAAGTCATGCATTTGTATTTCCACATGGCATGGCTTAGAGACCAAGTTTGCCACTGGTTGTGTACTTACAAAATCTTTTATTTAAAATAATGGTTTCTTTTTTCTAACAGTGAAACGGAAAAGCGCCGTGGAGCTGTTGCAAGAGTCAAAAGCCTTCTATGTGAAATCCGAGAGAGTTTTGGATCGGAAGCAGGAACTGAAAAACAGTGGCCACCTTCAAGTGACTTCATCAGCTGTGGACACAGTGTTTTTGCGTGGTCCATTGCTCAAGAAATCATCATCTGGGCCAACATGGGTCAACAGTGTACAGAACCAAGATCCCGGTAGCAGGCATGAACAGGACAGTGGAAGATGTGAGTTCGTTTCAGTAATATATTAATTTGGTACACACGGGACAGTCTCAGTTGTTTCTTAAAAGCTGCAGTATCTGTAAGAATTGTTTTATGATGGGTTACAGGGCAAAATCTTTGCTGAGATTTGAGATTGACAAGTCACTGAAACTAAATTTTAGTCTTGTGGGTTATGACACTGTGTGGTCTTACAGAGTATAATCATTGATTTTTAGTATCCAAAGTATAAAAGAGCTTTCAGTTTAATTATTACTGTGACTCGTTGCACAACCTGTCTACTAGGATCAGTGGGCTGTGTCTAATCTATTACTGGCTGCTGAAAGGGAGGAAAGCTGTCGACATTACTCACAGTAGAAACCAGAGCTTCTTCAGCCACAATATGAAACTGTAGTAATATTGTGCAATGATTACTGATTATGTAATTGTTCATGAGAAGGACTGACTCAAGTCACAGCCTTTAAATATAGAGTAGTTGCTTATAGGTTCTGTTTGTATCCAAATGTGTTGCATGACAAGAGTAAATCCCCATCCCATATTCAATTTTTTTTATATATTTTACTTCCAGTCAGATATTGTCTTAATATTAAAAAGTATATGTTTTTAACTTGCTGTAGAAATTAGTCTGACTCTGATAACATTTATTTGCTACATTTGGTGTGAATATGAAAGCCTAAGGCTATGTTACAGGCAGAGGAGAATGTACAGATATTCACTTCATATCTACTCTGCAGATAGAACTTTAAGTAAAAGCTTTTTCAGATGATTACTGAATTAAAACCATTTCCTCACTATGTGCCATAGTGACTGTATAGGAGCCTGGATTACTGTCATTTTGTTTCAACACAAAATGGTGTGGGGTGTGTGTAATGGTGTCTTCAAGCAGCAACATGAGACAGTAGGCTGAAACTTAAGAACAGTGAATAGTGAATCTTGTTTCTTCATTTATTTTATGAAATTTTCTTTTATCTGCAGGTTATTTTGTGTGAATGAAAGGATAATTATGAATGATGAATTTGGAAAGATATAGAAGGAAGCAGTGATGTCCTTTCTTAAGATACTTTCCCAATATTTGTTCTGAAGAACTGAAGTGAACTGCTATAGGGCACTGAACCTCCAGACCTAGATTCGAATTGAATACCTCCCGAATACAAACAGGAGTGCTAATCACTTGACCAGAACATTTAGTATGAATAGTTAATGATGAACACACATTGTTGTACTTAATTTGCAAATATGTTTCTCCATAGTAAATTCATATTGCATAAGCAGGCAATCTAGTGTCAAGCATGCCTGGTTAATTGGTTTCAGTCATTTAATTATGCTTAACAAAGCAGTGAGCTATATGTGTTATGGTATGGTTCTATTTGAACGATGAATTAGGATGGATATAGGAGAAAAAATAATGATGAACTCCTTCAGTATACCATTGCAGCATTCTTCACCTTGAGAGTCTAATGAGTACTACAGAAACCTTGGTCCAGGTACCTGATTTCTTAATGGGATTAAAACTCAGTACTCTGAAAGTCTGAAGTGCCAGCCCCCTTAATGGCCGTATCTGACATTAGTGTTCCTCCAAGACATGAGTATTGTACAGCATCATGCTACTTTGAGTACATTGAATCTCACAGTAACATACTGTGCTAGACAGCACAGTGGCACAGTAAAGTTTAATATCTCACATTGTATATGTATGTAATTAAGCATGAAACATATCAAAATTACAACAACTTTTCAAAAGTTAAAATAGTAGCGCTGGCCACAATTATGTCAAAAGATATTTGAGAAATGTGATGCTGTATAATGACAATTTTTGAACTATTGATAAATGTATAGTTACACATTTTAATTCAGCATGTTATGGGACATGAACTGAAATACTCTGCACTACACTGTAGTCACATAAAAGGTTTATAACCTCTATTAACTTCTGAACATTAAAATAATGTTGCTGTTGCAATTCTGATTTATGTGTGTGTGTCTTGTGGTGCATGAGGCCTGGCAATAAGTAACTAGGCAGATGTTCTGAGTAGTAACTTGAAACAGTGATGAGATGCAGGTTGGATCATAGGACTGCATTACTCATCAGTTGACTCTGCATCATTTGTGACTGCAGTGAGTATTTTATTGGCACAGTGTCTTTTTTAAAAACTACTTTTACTGACATTGCAGAAAATTGTGACTGACATTTATGAAATGCTAGAGCAAGTTTGTTGAGAGGGAAGTGACTCCAAGGTGGATGGAAGACATTTCATGCAATGAAAGGCCCAGTCACCAGACAAACTGAAGAACTAATTTAAAAAGAAACGAAAAACATAAGAACAGAGCATAAATAGAGAAACCGTGAGACTGATTTTGATGAGATCTGAACATGAATAAAGTCGGATATGAAATGCTGCCAATTAAACTCACAAGTGAGGAGAAGAAAAGTAGGAGGAAAGAAGGAGACTTTTCTACTTTACTGGCATAAAAGTGTTCAACAATCTGCCACAAAGTATTAAAAACTTGGGCAATGATACTAAAAAGTTTAAATCAGAGTTAAAGAATTATCTACAAGCTCATTCCTTCTACTCTTTAGATGAATACTTCAATGTAAATAGAGAATGATGTAAAATTAAGTTATATTAATTTTTAAGCTAAAATTGCCTGTACTTATGTATGTAACCTTTTGACTTGTTCTGTATCCAAAGGTACTAACCT